ATCCACTTTTATTTTCAGCATGACAATGTTACTCTTTAGCTCTGCCTCACATTGTTGGATCTTGCCCATAGCAGCGTCGATTTCTCTCTTGTAAGAATGGAGAACATCTAGCTTTTCTTTTTTCTGGTTTAGATGATCGGAAGACGCGTTCACACGCACCCTTGCCCGTTCTTCTCGCCCTTGAAAGTAAGCTGCAGATGATACAAAGTTTGATAGTGAGCATCTGAGAGCGGCCAGCTTTCTCTCTGCAACTTCTTTTCTTGCATTAGTTTTATCAGAGACAGCTTCGATTGATCCTAGCCCGTCCTGGTGCTCCTTAACTCTGTCTTCGGCCTCTTTGCTTTGCTTTGACAGCTTGATAATTTCCAAAACAATCTCTTCAAGCGAAGAGAACACTCCAATGGTCTTGGCAGAGACGGAAAGGATTTCCTGCGCCTGTTCAAGTTTCAGCCTTGCTGAGTTTAAATCTTCTGTGGATCTTTCAGAAGAAAGGTTGCACAGCTCCATTTCTGTGTCAGAGGCACAACTTGTATCAACAACATCAACTTCAATAAGCTTCTCTTGCCCAGGAGCAGAAAGTAGTCTTTTGAATTCATCCTTTTCCTTCATCGCATTTTCATACAGACTCATCAGCTTTTCGTTCTCCTCGTGCATCTCGCTAAGCTGATTCTTCAGGTTCCCTATCATTTTCTTAAGCTCCTCAGCTGCACTTTTCTCGACCTCCAGAGCACTGTTCTGAGCTTCGGCATTAGTATTACTTGATGAATCTGTCTCGGTATTCCCAAAATCTTTGGAGCTGTTTTCTGCGGCTGCTTGTTCGTACAGCTCTATAAGTTTGTTGTTATCCTCAATCAGGACCTTTACTTTCTGGCACAGTTCTTCATTTTCTTTCGACAACTTGGTCGCTGTCTCGTGTGCTTCAGCTTCTCTTTGACTAACACATGCAATGGCTTGAACCATTGTTTTAACCTCCATCTGATCATCGTCGCCAACCATGCCTGAGGATCTTATTCCCTCGAGCTCTTTAACCAAATTTTCCACAAGCCTGCAAGAGGAATCAAAAGATATGAGCTGGCTTAATGATTGTACCTAAAACTGAGATATATTGTGTGCAGTAAATTACTTTTCCAATCTCTCCTTCTCATCAATGGAAAAACTTAGTGATTTCTGAAGAGATTCCATTTCTGCCCGATTTTGAAAAGCCTTCCGATTGCAAAACGAAGCAACAAGTTAGAGATATCTAATTTGATGTAATGAATAAAGTAGAACTAGAACCCGACTGAATAGACTGAAGGCAAGAATAACCTGCATCCGGAGGAATTCATTCTCATCTTGGATCGCTGAAAGTTTCTTTAATTCCTGATTCTGTAAAAAAAAAAAACAAGCGTCAAAACGTTTTCAAAGGCTCGACATTTACATTGTTGTAACATAGAAACAACTTATTTGCGCTGCCAGGAAATAACAGACTTTGTAAGGCAGACACTTTTTGCAGCAAACTATCAGAAAGACAATCAAGCCCATACCTCGTTCGAGCAGAACATACTGCTCATGTTACGATCTTCTTTCACCATGGAGTTTTCTGACCCATGCATGAGTTTCCAATCGAGAGCTTCTAGCAGCTGCACAGAGATTCAAGTTACATGCTAGTTCAAATCATAAGCAAACTTCTGAGGTCTTGAAATGACAGAATATATTCACCTTCGCTTGTAACACTTGAATCTGTTGATTCAAGATATCCCGTTCACCTTCCTCACATTGCGATTTCAATCTGTGTTGCAAGTGAAAGATTAACAAAAAATATAAAAGATATATATTCCTGAGAGAAAATCTCTGTTGCAAGGAGTCTTGCCTTCGTATCTCTTCTTTCAATCTTAAATTCTCCGTGGCAAATTTGGTAACTTCTTGATTTCTGTCAACCTGAGCTCGTAGCACCTCAATCTCCTTCAAAAGGTCTTCCTTTTCTTTTTGCAGATGTGCTTCAACAGATATCTTTCCTGAGGCTACACCTTGTAAACTCTTGATTGCTGAATCTCGGAGCTTTAACATCATTTTCAGCCCTCGTATTTCATCCTCTCTTTTCTTTTCCTGTATAGAGAAGAGATAGTTATGAGCTTGTGAATTTCATCATTCTTGCTTCAATTATCCTCTGGGTTTCCACAGTACATGAATCCCAAATGAGGAATTCCAACGTACCAACTTCATCGAGGCCTCATTTTCAGCAGTCAAAGCCTGTAAAGCAGCATCCTTTTCCCTCTCTCTCCTGAAAGCACCAATCAGTGCAACTTCGTAGTCTTTTGCCTACAAAGCCATCCAAGTGAAATTCTAAGAACAAAGCCAAATGCTGAACAAAAAAGGATCAAATTCGCAAGAAAAAGCAATAGCTTAGCTTAGAAAAACTCTATATCAAGAAAAACATTTTCAAACCTTAGACATCTTTTTGTGAGTTGTGAGAGGAGTGAATGATCCACTGAACCCATCCCACTTGAGAGATATTGGAGAAGCAGGGCAACCCATTGAGACAGTGTCAATGTCCTGATTGTCTACTCCACCGTTAACCATTCCTCTTAAGCGGGATACTTCTTTCTGTAAAATATGATTTACAACACGTAAGAACAAGTCTGTGGGAGAGAAAGAGAAACATTATTTGCTGAAAAATCTACCTTGAGCTGTTGAATTTGTAGCCGCATAGCAATAACATCTCCAGATGCATCTTCGTTGACAATTGCCTGTTAAGTATGAGATAATTTATATAACTGAAAGTAGAGCACTATACCAGATGCATGACTTAGTAAACAATACCAGGGAATAATATCATTACATTAT